AGGCAAAGACAGAAGACACAGTACAAATTAAAGATGGTAGAAAAAAAGTTCAAATATAACAATCACAGTAAACATTAATGGATTAAAATCATAAATTAAAAGGCACAGACAGTCCAACTGAATCTTTTAAGAATTCCAGATATATGCTATTTATAAAAGACAATTTTTTTTAAAGAGGATATCTTGTCTTGCTCTGTTGCCCAGGCTGAAGTACAGTGGCGTGATCATAGCTCACTGTGGCCTCGAACTCCTGGGTTCAAGCAATCCTCCCACTCCAGCCTCCTGAGTAGGTGGGACCACAGGCATTTGCCACCACACTCAAATAATTTTTATTCTTTTTTTTTTTGAGTTGGAGTCTCACTCTATTGCCCAGACTGGAGTGCAGTGGCACGCTCCCGGTCACCGCAGCCTTGACCTGCTGGGCTCCAACGATCCTTCCACCTCAGCCTTCCAAGTAGCTGGAATTACAGGCATGCGCTACCATGCCCGGCTAATTTTTTTTTTTTTTTGAGTTGGAGCCTCACTCTGTCACCCAGACTGGAGTGCAATGGCCGCTCCCAGCCACTGCAGCCTCGACCTGCTGGGCTCCGGCAATCCTTCTGCCTCAGCCTTCCAAGTAGACGGAATTACAGGCATGCGCTTCCACGCCTGGCTGATTTTTTGATTTATTGTAGAGATGAGGTCTCGTTGCCCAGGCGGGTCTCGAACCCGCGGGCTCAGGCAATCCGCTCACCTAAGCCTCCCAAAGGCTCAGGATTACAGGCTGAGCCACCAAGCCCGGCTTAATTTTTGTATTTATTGTAGAGATGAGGCCTCGCCAAGTTGCCCAGGCGGGTCTCGTACACGTGGGCTCAGGCAATCCACTTACCTCAGTCTCCCAAAGCGCAGGATTACAGGCTGAGCCACCGAGCCCGGCTATAATTTTTATTCTTATTTTATTTTATTTTTTGCAGAGATGGGTCTCACTACATTGCCCAGGCTGGTCTTTGAACTTCTGGCCTCAAGCATTCCTCCTGCCTCGGCCTCCCAAAGCACTGGGAATACAGGTATGAGCCCCACTGCCTAGACACAAAAGACACTTAAAATGTAAAAACATTAAAAAGTTGAAAATAAATCACACAGTGGCTCACACCTGTAATCCCAGCGCTTTGAGAGGCAGAAGCGAGAGGATTGCCTGAGTCCAGGGGTTCAAGACCAGCCTAGGCAACTTGGTGAGACCTCATCTCTACAATAAATCAAAAAATTAGTTGGGCATGGTGGTATATGCCTATAGTTCCAGCTACTTGGAAGGCTGAGGCGGAAGGATCACCTGAGTCCAGCAGGTCGCGACTACAGTGGCCACTGCCCTCCAGCCTGGGTAGCAGAGTGACACTCATACTCAAAAAAAAAAAAAAAAAAGATGTTGACAAAGTAGTAGGACTAAAGACGGTCATATAATGATAAATGCTTTAAGTCATTAATAAGAGCTAACAATTCTAAATTTTTAAGAATTTAGATAAAATAAGCTGAAGCTATAAACAGCAAAATTTGACAAAACTAGAGACAAAGTGACAAATGTATGGATTTCAATACATCTCCCTCAACTATTGATAAGTCAACTAGACAACAAATAATCAGTAAGGATACAGATGATGAATTAAGAAGACTGATTTTCACATATTAAAGAATTAAAGAATCCACTCTTCTCACGCATACATGAAACATGCATGGAACACACGTGGAACAATTACAATAGATGACCATGTACTAGGCCATGAGCAAACCTGAACAAACCTCAAAGGATCAGTACCCAAAAGACCATATTAAGTAGACTATATAAAGAGCTCTTATATATCAAAAAGAAAAATAAAAGCAATACAATTTTTAAAAGTCCAAATGCTATGACAGATGTTTTAAGAGAAAAAAATTGTATGGCTGCTAAATATTTAAAATGATACTCAGCTGGGCATGGTGGCTCATTCCTGCAATCTCAGCATTTTGGGAAGTGGAAGCGAGAGGACTGCCTGAGCCCATGAGTTTGAGACCAGCCTGAGCAACATGATGAGACCTCGTCTCTACAATAAATTATAATATTAGCCAAGCATGCTGTTGTGTGCCTGTAGTTCCAGCTACTTGGAATGCAAGATGGAAGGATTGCCTGAGCCCAGCAGGTCGAGGCTGCTGTGGCCGCAAGCGTGCCAGTGCACTCTAGCCCGGGCGACAGTGAGACTCTGACTCAAAAAAATAAAATAAAATGATATTCAATCTCATTAATAATCAGGAAAATAGTTGGGTGTGATAGCTCATGCCTGTAGTACCAGCACTTTGGGTATCCAAGGAAGGAGGACTACTTGAGCTAAGGAGTTAAGACCAGCCTGGGCAACATGGCCAGACCTCACCTCTAAAAAAAATAAAAAATTATCTGGGCATGGTGGTGTGCGCCTATAGTACCAGCTACTCAGGAGGCTGAGGCAGGAGAATTGCTTGAGCCCAGGAGTTGAGGCTGCAGTGAGTTGAGGCTTCAGTGAGTCTTGACTGTGCCACTGCACTCCAGCTTGAACAACAGAGTGAGATCCCGATTCAAAAAAAAATAGCAGGAAAATACAAATAAAGATTTCACTAAGAAACGGGTTGAATATCCCTATTCTAAAAATTTGTAATCCGAAATGCTCCAGAATTCAAAACTTTCATTTTTTATTATTATTTTTTTTATTTTTTTGAGTTGGAGTCTCACTCTGTTGCCCAGGCTGGAGTGCAGTGGCATGCTCACAGCCACCGCAGCCTCAACCTGCTGGGTTCAGGCGATCCTTCTACCTCAGCCTTCCAAGTAGCTGGAACTACAGGTACGTACCACCACACCCAGCTATTTTATTTATTGTAGAGAAGAGGGTCACCAAGTTGCCCAGGCTAGTGTCAAACCACTGGGCTCAGGCAATCCTCTCACCTCTGCCTCCCAAAGTTTTGGAATTACAGGTGTGAACCACTGCACCTGGTTCATTTTATATTTTTAAAAACAGAGACAGGATTTCACTATGGTGCCCAGGCCAGTCTCGAACTCCTGGTCTCAAGTAATCCTACTCACTCTCCCAAAGTGCTGGGATTATAGGTATGCACCACCAGGCTTGGCCCCAAAATCCAAAACTTTTTGAGTGCTGATGTGACACTTGAAAAAACTACTCTTTGGAGCATTTTGGATTTCAGATTTTTGGATGAGGGGTGCTAAACTGGTAAGAATAATGTAAATATTCCAAAATCCGAAAAAACTGAAATCTGAAGCACTTCTGGTCCCAAGCATTTTAGCCAAGGGACATGCCTGTACATATCAAAATGGGAAAGACATTTGACAATACCACATTAGATAAAATATGGCTCAGGAAGAATTCTTACATATTGCTAGTAAGAAGTAAACTGGTATAACTACTTAGGAAAACAATTTGGCATCGTCTCATAAAGCTGAATACTGGTATAGTCTATAACTAGCAAGACTATTATCCTAGGTTTATATCCAAGAGGAACTCTCGATAAAGCTCTATGTTTTTGTTTTTGTTTTTTAGTCAGGGTCTCACTCTGGTTCACACAGGCTCACCACAACCTCAACCTCCCGGGCTCAGGTGATTCTTCTGCCTCAGCCTCGTACTGAGTAGCTGGGACGACAGGTGCCTGTCACCACACTTGGCTAACTTTTTAATTTTTCTTATACAGAAGTCTTCTCATTATGTTGTCCAGGATGGTCTCACACTCCTAGGCTCAAGCAATTTTCCCACCTTGACCTCCCAAAGTACTGGGATTGCAGGCGTGAGTCATCACACCCCGACAACATCTATGTTTAAAAGATGATTATTCAGCCGGGCTCAGTGGCTCAGCCTGTAATCCTGCACCTTGGGAGGCTGAGGTGAGTGGATTGCCTGAGCCTACGGGTTCGAGACCCACCTGGGCAACTTGGTGAGACCTCATCTCTACAGTAAATCAAAAAATCAGCTGGGCGTGGTAGCACGCGCCTGTAATTCTGGCTACTCGGAAGGCTGAGGCGGAAGGATCACCGGAGCTCAGTGGGTCGAGGCTGCAGTGGCCGGGAGCAGCCACTGCACTCCAGTCTGGGCGACAGAGTGAGAATCCAACTCAAAAAAAAAAAAAAAAGACGATTATTCATAAAATGCTCACTGTAGTAAAAAACTGAAAGCAATTCACTTATAGAAAATATGTATAATCGTGCAATGTATTATACAGCAATGAAAAAGAAAGAGCTACAGCCATATACAATAACAATATTAGAAAAATTATGCATATGATTCTGTTTTTACAGCACTCAAAAACAGAACAAATTTTTGTTTTGGCATACATACAGCTCTATTTTTATTTTTTAGAATCGAGGTCTCACTCTGTTGCCCAGGTTGGAATGCAGTGGCATGATCATAGCTCACTGCAGGCTCAAACTCCTGATCTCAAGCGATTTTCCCACCTCAGCCTTTTGAGTAATTGGGACTGTAGGCATGTGCCATTATACCTGGCTGGTTGTTTTTTTTTTTTTAGAAATGAGGTCTTGCTGTGTTGCCTAGGTTGGTTGGTCTTCAACTCCTAGGTTTAAGCAATCCTCCCACCTTGGCCTCCCAAAGTGCTGGGATTGTAGGTGTGAGCTACTGTGCCCAGCTAAGTTCTATTTTTAAAAGCAAGAACATTTGTGGGGGAGGGAAGGGAAGCAAGAGCATAATAAACACAGCATTTAGGTCAACAGGTGCCTCGGCATGAGAGGCAGGGGAATGGAGTCAGGTGGATTCATAGTTGATGTTGGTTTTGCCATTGTGCTAGTTTTTCAATTATGTGGTGTGTTTACAACATTAAAAATCAAAACAAAATAAAACAGACCAATAATGACAGCATGTTATAAACTACAAGTTATAACAATTTCAATTCTATGTACCAGAGGTCCATTATGCCACCCTCTACACACACATACACACACAGAGAGAGAGAGCTGAAAACAGCACAGGAAACTGTTCCTTCTGTTTTTCCCACACCCCTACCTGTGTCCGAGCATTGAGCAACTGCTGGAAACTCTCAACCTCTTTGCTGTCGTCTGCAGCCCGCTCCTAAAGAAAACAAAGGAAAATGTCAAGATTGGGGAAATCAGTCCTTCCCTTCAGAATGTCCCCTTCATTCCACACTTATGGAACTTGGCCAGACATAGTGCCAGACTCCAAGAGTCAAACACTGAACAAGACAGACATCATTTGCCTTCCTGGAGCTACCAGAACAGAGGAGGAAACTGAATTCTCTGAGTAGAGAGACAGGGAGAAGGAGCTTCTGTTACCATCAGCACACCCAGCATCATGTCATAGTTGTTGATAAGAAACACAAGCTGCTCCTTCCTTGAGGAGAACTCGGCTGCCACTCGGAGAACAAAATTCTCCACCTCCACCTGAAAAAGCCGAAAGGAGGAGGTGATACCAGAAAGCAAGGTCATCTGGCCCTTCTGGCCCCCTCCTTGTGTTCCAACCATGACCTACTGCTGGGAGGTCTCTCCCACCCTGCCCTCACCTGAAGCTGTCCCAGCAGCTGCATGGTCCGTTCATTGGGAATTGTCTGGTTGATGCTGACAAGAGCAGAGGAGAACTCTGCATAACGACGTGTTATCTAGGACAATGACAGTGGGAAGAGAAATCACAACAACCCCCCTGGCCCAATTCCCTTGGCCAACCAACCATGTGACTGCTTCCAATCCCTCCTACCAACAGTGCCAAATCCCCATGAGTTTCACCACATTCCTGTGCTGCCCACTCACAGAGTACGGCCCATGACACAACTGCAGCCTTGGCCAACCCCCACAGTGAAGCTCAGAACACTGCCTTTCAAGAACCCCTTTGTTACCGTTGCCCTCCCTCACATAGTGGGGTCGAGTATCCAACCCCCCAAGGCGCTGAGGGTCAGTGCTTCGGACACTCTGGACATTCATCTCCAGGATCAGCTCAAACCGTGGCCACAGCAAGGCGAGTACCTGTTCCCAGTACCTGTGGGCTTAATCAGAATCAGAGGTCAGCTGGCAAAAAATGGTGGGGGCGGTGAGGAGAGTGGGGCATCCTCAGGTTAATGGCCAATGGGTGGTGGGGATGGAGGTGAAAAGTGAGTCAAAAAACAGCAGTACTGCTTCAGGAGTCAATGAATGGGAATAAGGGTCAATGATATCAGGTCAATAGGAGCCCAAGAGTCAGGGAAGAGTCACACAAGACCAAGAGAGTTCATGGCCTGCAGGGCATCAAGGACTAGAATTCAGTGACCTGTCCAGGGCGGGAACATCTCTCTTTGCTGCAATGTTGCGGAACCGGAGAACAATGTGGATGCAGAGAAAAACAGCAATGGCATCATAGCAGTCAGCCAGATAGGACTCCAGGTGTTTCTGTGATTTAGGAACAGGCAGAAGATTGGAAGAGAATGTTTGTTAGTTGTTGTTCCCAGTGACTATGAACAAATGTGTGTGTTTCTATGACAATAAGGTATAGGAAGAGAGAGACCTAAAAGGAAAATGCCCCAACTTTCCCTGTCCACGGCCATGTGGGTGGTCCTGTTGCCTTGCCATAGCCAGGATCTATGATCATAGCAGAGTTCAGGGCAGACCTGAGCCTGGGTTGGGGGTTTGAGAACTGAGACTTAGGGGCCTCTCGGTTTTCAGGTTCAGCAGCAGGGGTAGTCTCAGGGAGCCCAAGCTCTGAGGATTTCATGGAGAGACACTGCAAGTACAAGGCTTAGACATTTTAGAATGAGGGGATCTTGGTTTCAGTACTGCAGAATTACGACCTCACCATGGTGTTGATGAAAACTGAAGACAAACGGATTTAAGAGCACAGGAATGCCTATAGTTCTGGCTACTTGAAAGGCTGAGGTGGAAGGACTGCCTGAGCCCAGTAGGTAGATGCTCGGGTGGCCATGAGCATGCCACTTCACTCCAGCCTGGGTGACGGAGTGAGATTCCAACTCAAAAAAAAAAGAGCACAGGAAACAGGAATCTTACCAGGGTCATGCTGAGCGTCCGGCCCATGACAGCATGGAACAGGTCGTGAGCAGCTGGGCCAGACACCATAAAAAATTCACAGATGAAAAGATATTCACGGCAGGAATTGTCCAGGAGGGCATAGTGCTGGCTGCGGAAGAGGGCCTCAAATGGATACTAGGAGGGGAGGAGTCAAGAAGACAAAAGGAATAGACCCCAACACTGACTTCCCGTGGACACAGCTAGTAAATCAGTAATAAGAGCTCTGCAGACCCCCCATCCAACCTAAGTTCAGGCTGTGAAAGAGAATCCTGAATGGGCACCGAAGAGGTGGGAGCATAACGGGACAAGAGACTGAGCCCACCTCCACCTGCTGCCAGTACTCCTGCATCTACCTCAACACCTGTCTCTGACAGCCATTCCCCTCAGCCAGTCTCTCCCCTCTGCATGTCCGTAAGTCAGTGGTTCCCAAGTTTTTCACACCACAGCAGGTGAGTGATCAGAGAAAGGCACTCTTGGGTCTAAGGGGGTTGAGGCAGGTTGGGAAGCTTTGCCCTGAGGCCTGGCCTTCCCTTGCCCCATGCTCAGAGTCCCCTTCACGACATAAGTTGGCTCCTTCTCATACCCTCTGCTCTCCCCGCTGGGCTGTGTGGGGCACCAGGATGGGGGCCTCAAGTTCAGTGGGGGAAATGACGGAGCCGCGGGTCCCCAAGGTGAAGATGGTGTTCCTGCTGCGGAGGGATGGCTTCGAGAAGAATCGTGAGAAGGGACAGAGTCAGGGAAAATGAGACCACAATGGCCTAAAGACTCAGCATCTCTGGGACCCCAGGCAGCCAGACACAGCCTAGACATCCCTCTTTCCCAGTACTAGGGCCCCACTTCACCTGACATGTGAAATAGGTTTCAGAGGGTCTCTACATCCCCTGAAATCAAACGCAAAATTATGTGTCAAAACGACATATGCATCTTTCTGGGGAGGGAGACTATAGCTTTCATCACATTCTCAAAGGTTTCAGGCCCACAGAAAATGGTAAGGAGCCGTGGCTTGGAGGCTGGTGCCAGAACTCCTCTCACTCTCAAGGTCTAGCATAAGGGTTCCCTGGCACTAGGATATCTTTCTTTGCTGTATCTTCCACGCCCATCAGATCATCTTTCTCAGCAACTTCCTCATACTGGAGAAAACAGAAAAGAAAACTGGTAACCATCATTTCCCATAGCACAATAAAAAACTTCTGTTCCTCCTTGCCCAGGCATGTCCTCTCCTCCCAGTCCACGTGCCCAGAAATGCCTCTCCTCCTTTGGCCTCACCTGCACCTTCATGAGCCGCCCCAGATAAGAGCGGTAGTAAGACAGGTAGATCTTGCTCAGTGTCTCCACGTATTCATCCCTGATCTCCTTTGCTGTTGCTCGTTCATTGCCCAGAAGGAACTGATAGAAGAACCTAGAGGGACCAGGGATAAAACAATCTTCCTGTCTGCCCAAGAAACCAGATGCCCACTCTAGGACACTCAAAAGCCATCCTGCCCACATCCTTGGGGTGGTGACCTGTACTTCAGCAGGGCCGTCTGGGGGATCTGATAGTTGGTCATCGGTTTTCTGAAGGAATAAATCTTCTGGAGGATGAACTCTCGGATTTTTGTCACTGCCTAGATGTAGAGAACCAAACAGGGCATGAAGCTGCAAACCTTCCACTGTATGGGAGGAACTGGGGGAAGTGACAACACTAGACACAGGAGGAAGGTTGGCGAATACTGCCTCAGTATTTCTTAGGATTTTCAGTGAAACCCAGAGAGGCAAGGATGGGCTCTCCCCGGAAAAGGAAGGTGAAGTTCTTGGGGACAGGCAACAGTGAGCTTTGCCAAGAAAATCCAGAGCAAAGGTCTTGGGGAGGCTGTTTAAAAGGTATCCACCCCACTTCCCACCTTGACGCGGAGCCGGTCAAGAACACCTCTGACATCTGCACAGGCTGCTGTGCCTCTAGCCTCCTGCTCTCTGACTGCAGCTGCCTTAGCATCCAGCTCCTGTAGCTGCTCCAAGAACCTAGGTTCCGTCACTGGAGCCTCTAGAATTGCCCTGAGTGGCAAGAAGGGATATGATGGGTTAGAAGGGAGATCCAGACATCCCTAAATCAAATCCAAACCTGTCACCTTTATCTTACAATGTACCATAGAGTCAGGATATATGCACAAAGTTTTCTATTCCCAGACTCCTCTACTGTACACATAACCTTGGATCAGTCCCAATCTTTGATGCTCAAGTTATGTACCAAGGTTAGAAATGGTTGTCAACCCATTCACTAATTTCTAGAAAGCAAGTGACGACCTGGAGCCAGAAGACTCACGTGGTAAACAGGGTAGGTCATTCCAGCCCATTAACCTGCTATGGATATTGTGACTCTTCCAATCAGTAACTCACGTGACCAGAGCAGAGGGCACCACCAGACCATCTACAAGCTCCCCAAGCTTTCCCCGAACTGCCTGGCGATTTCGAAGTCGAATGTTCATGGCTCCTGACTGTTCCTGCAGCGTCCTGATCTCAGAGCTGATGGAGCTGAGGTCACTCTGAAAAGCTCCCAACATCTGCTCCATGCGCTGGGAAAAGGGTGAAAGATGTTGCTGGTGTGCCATGGGGTTGGTAGGGGACAAGTGGGCCACCTAAGTATCTTGGTGAAGTCCCCAGTATCTATCAGTCCATGAGTGTGGCAAGATGATGAAGTACCCCAAAGGTTACCAAGAAATGTCACCAGTATGACAGTAACAACAAAAGGTTCCTGAGGTCACCCTGAAAATGACCCTAACCTGTCCCCATCTGAGGGTGGTGACCTAAAGAATGGTACCAGAGGCCATGATCTGGTTCAGAGTTATTAGAAGTCACAGGTTATGGTTACTAACCTCCAGGACAGCATCACAGGCTGTGATCTGGTTGTGCAGAGATGCTATGTTCTCACTCTCTTGGATATCTAACCCACAAAAAGTCAAGGAGCATCATGGTGAGGATGGAGTTCCTTAGACCTTCAGTACCTCTCCAATTTCTCCCTAAAGTGACAGAAACCTCAGAAAAGAAGATGTCAGCCCCAGTTGGGCCATATGCACCGCACCCCAAAAAAATCCCCATGTAAATAACACCACCCCTCCTCTCTGCTGGAGGATACAATCTCGAATGGACTTCTGCTCAATCTGCTGTAGCTCCAGCTCTACTTGCTTTGAATAGTGACGGAGATCCACACCCTGAGAGAAGATAAAGATGACACATCAGAAAGAAGTCCCAGTGAAGGGACACTGGAACAGAATCAGTGAAGGGCTAAAGGGTATGATATCAGGGTGATATAACAAAAGTGAGACTGTTTTTTTTATCCTTTCAGGGGAGGGTAGGTGGAAGAACAGATTAGCATAGGGGAAAGCCTCACCGTTTTAAGAGCTTCCTTTACTAACTCATCCTCCAGATTTGCCTGAATGTGAACTGGAAGTAGAAATTGATCATAAGGGTCCAGCTCCACAGGTCCCTCTCCCCACACTGAGCATCTGCACACAGATCCCTGCCTTATTTCTTCCAACCCCCATGCCTCTCATATTTACAGGTATTCTGCACCCACTCCATGCCATCACTTACCATCCACTTCATCCAGAATGAATTCATCAGAGGTGATATCCAACTCCCCAAGTTGCAGTGGCTCCTGGAGCCCAGGACCACCCCCCTGAAGAGGGACAGGTTAATAGGAGAATGGTACAGGGTAAAAAAGGGAGAAAAAAATATAACTGGATGTCTTCAATCCTTCAAGTGAGAGGAAAGGTGCTTTTACTGGGGAGCCATAGGTACTGAGTCAAAAATTCGAGAATCTCACACTGCACTCAATTTACTTTGGATAGACAAGGACTATGACAAAGAGTCAGGCAATACATTATGACAGGAGGAGCCGGGCATGGTGGCTCATGCCTGTAATCCTAGCACTTTGGGAGGCAGAGGTGAGAGGATTGCCTGAGCCCAGGAGTTCAAGACCAGTTGGGCAACTTAGCAAGACATCTCTACAATAAATTAAAAAATTAGCTTCATGTGGTGGTGCACGCCTGTGGTTCCAGGTTCTTAGAAGGCTGAGGCAGGGGAATGCCTGAGACCAACAGGTAGAGGCTGCGGTGCCATGAGTGTGCCACTGCACTACAGCCTGGGCGACAGTGAGCCTCCAACCCAAAAAAAAAAAAAAAGACAGGAGGAAACCCAGAAGAACAGCCAGTCTCTGTAGTCCCCGCAACTTGAATTTGGTAAGCTGAAGCCAGAGGAGTACTTGAGTCCAGAGTTCAGGCCAGCCTGGAAAACATAGTCTCAAAAAAAAACAAAAGCAAAACAGTGGAGGTGTTCCAATGAGAAAAATTAGGAGTTGCTGAGGACAAAGCAGATCTTGCCGTTGAATTCAGGATCCTCAAAATCCTGCTATCTCGGGTGTTCTATCAGTACACCTCTAGGGAACCCTAAGCATTTCTAGAAGTATCAACTAACATATAGTGTGTATCTGCGTGCCAGGTGACATCTAACATATACTCATTTATCTAATCCTAACGACAACCATACGATAGGTCCTATTATCTTCTTCACTTTAAAGGTGTGGAAGACGGTGGCATAGAGAAGTTGGTTAACTTGCCCAAAGACACACAGCGTGTAAATGGCAAGGCTGGAACTAGAACCCAGGCACTCTGGCTCCAGAGGCCATAGTCTTAAATTTTACAGTATATTGTTCCTTTACCCTACCCAAAAACGAGGAGGGAAGTTACAATGATGCCCTCGAACCTGAATTTCAACCATTCTGGCCCCAGCTCGGGGTCGGGTCTGATCCCAGGGAAAGGTATAGGGAGCCAAACAGGCAGCATCATTGGTGGCAGCCAAGCTCCCACCCCTGTGCCTAAACCCAGCCCAGGCCTTACTGACGCGAGGACGTGACTACGGAGGAAAAACATTCCCGCGTTCTCACCAGCGGGCCCTCCTCCTCCTCCATATCTGAGGTCCCAGCCCGCGAAACCAGCTCTCGGGCGGCTGCCGCCATGGTCGCAGCGGCGGCCATTCCCCGCAGCCTCACTTCCGGCAGCTGTCAGTCCCGGCGTCCGTTCCTCCGAGTGGAACTACAAGTCCCAGAGTGTCTTGCACAGCGCAAACTGGTTCCAAGATATTTGCGTTAAATTGACTCCATCCTTCCCCTTGCAGCTGTATCCACCTGAGTGCAAAGGGGAATGTGGAGGTCTCAAGCACAATGTCGTTCCGGAACCTTAGCTACTCTTGTACCCGTGAACTCTACGAACTGTAAAGAAATGACACAGCGGAAGTTGGAGCACCCAAGCAATACTCTCAGAAGTCCAGAGAGCTCGCGCTGAAGCAGTTTCCGAAAGCGTTTCACCTAGATCGCCCCGCCTCTTCCGCCTAAAAACTATATAAGCATAGCACGTCACTTCCGTTTTCTCTTCCACAGGAGGCCTACACGCCGCCGTTTGTGCCGCCGCCATGGTAAGACGAGTCTGTCCCGGGATCCAACGACATCGGAACCCGGACAGGGAAAGACTGCTGTCAGGGTGCCGAGAACACCGTGTCCTAGGGGCCTGCAACATTCTGTGTGGAGCCTTGGATCGCCCCCCTGGGAAGGGACGCCAAAGACTTCCAATTCCGGGGAGCGGGACCAGAGGAAGGGTCACTCCTCGGGTGCACGGAAGCTGCCAAAGCCTTGGGCATATGTAGGGTACTCCGGCCTCTGCATGCAGAGTGTACTTTTGGAAAGAGGCTGGAAGTCTGCTCCCTCTTTCCAGAGGTTGCATTTTCCCCATGCCTGAACGCTTCGTGTTCCTCCTTTTTGCAGGACTGAGGAGTTCGGTGTGAAATGGAAACCTAAGGGTGGGGTGTCCTTCCTCCCTATGTGAGATGCTGACGTTTCTGTTTGAGGTTGTTCTATCGCCTTAGTGACCTTACGGTTTGATAGTTCACGGTATCTGATTTCCCATACTCTTCCAATCAGTCTCTAGTGATCCCTGAGAAGTTCCAGCACATTTTGCGAGTACTCAACACCAACATCGACGGGCGGCGGAAAATAGCCTTTGCCATCACTGCCATTAAGGTAAAGTAGGGTAAGGGGCAGAGATCGTAAGCCCAAACTGGGTTGTTGAGACCTAAGCTATAAAAATGAGGCAAGGTTGAAGATGGTTAAGGATGCAACTAATCCCTTTAACCTATACCACCACGTTTACCAGAGAAACAATAAAAGCCAGAGAATGATATAAGGTCAAGCCAAAAACATGTCCCGTGGGAAGTGGGTATGGTGCCTATCTGCAGTCGCTAAGGTTCTCCTGGGCCATCAACTTGTGAGATTCCTGCTAGGTTCAGTTTCTTGCCACCCCTCCTTCTCCCTCAGCGCATCCTAACAGCATCCTTTCCTGTGATACTTACATGCCCTGAGAATTGGATAATTATTCCACATCTTAAGGGGTGAGTAGAGATGCCAGCAGATAACAAGTGCGTGAATACAAGCTTGAATATTTCCATGAACTGTATGGATCCCTGACCTTCCAGATGGGGACTTTTTTGCAGGGGGAGGAGTCAGAAAGCATAGTTATTTGTGGAAATCGCTGAGCATCTTTCTTGCCTACCAGTGTTTGTACACACTTATGGGGCAGGGCAAGGCCTGTCTTGCTCACAAATCCCAGCTTCTGGTACTCATATAGTGTTAGGGAATGGATGGTGTTAGGGATGCTGTTGTCTGGCTTTGAGGAGTTTTGATTTTTGTTTTGTTTTGAGTTGGAACCTTGCTCTGTGACTCAGGATGGAGTGCAGTGGCATGCTCATGACCACTACAGCCTCAACCTGCTGGGTTCAGGTGATCCTTCCGCCTCAGCCTTCCAAGTAGCTGGAACCACCGGTGTGTGTTACCACGCTGGCTAATTTTTTGATTTATTGTAGAGATGGGGGGGAATCTCACCAAGTTGCCCTGGCTGGTCTCGAACCCCTGAACTCAGGCAGTCTTCTCACCTCAGCCTCCCAAAGTGCTGGGATTACAGGCTTGAGCCACTTGCGCCTGGTCTGTTAGACATTTCCATAAAACTAGTAAGGCAGTGAAAAACATGGTATCTATTTCAGAGACTTGTTTGAAGCGTAAGTGAGATAGTGAATATAAATTATTAGAAAGGCAGGATGCTTCTAAACCTGTCGTGTCTACCCCTTTGAAATTGACTGGATTTATATTTGATACTTTTGGCCAAACTTTGGAGTCACCTTATTACTCAGACAACAGTTTGACCAACACATTTTTAGGTGCTGTTTGAGAATCTGATAAGAGATCTCAGGGATTCTGATGCCCCACCTCTCACTGGGAAAGGCTATTCCTAGAGTTAGAGGAGCACTAAGGTTTTTGCCAGCTGTGTGGAGAAACGCCTCAGGCAGCTAGCTCTTGGGCTGGTGAAAAAAGGAAAGTTTAGAGGTGGTCTTTGGTCTGGGATCTTAGTTCTTAGAAATTGGAAGAAAATTGAGCAGAAAAAGTGAAGGTTGGGTATAGGGAGGAGGTTCTTCCAAAGATGTAGTTAAGGTAGTGACAAACATAGTAAATCAGCCAGTAGAGTTTGAAGAAGAGATTCGAAGTTTACACAGACAGGAGAGGTCATTTATTTGACAGGTAATATGGATCCTATGATGCCATCCTCATTTTGTTTTCCCTTTGCATTTTGTTATGGATGTTCTGTAGGGCTAATGTTCTGTCCTTACTCTATATCAGGGTGATAACTACCCTTTGTTGGTTATTTGAAAAGGTGGGGCAGGGGCAAGTTGATTGTAACGCAAAACTTTTGTGTTTTGTTTTGTTTTGAGTTGGAGTCTCATTCTGTCACCCAGACTGGACTGCAGTGGCCGCTCCTGGCCACCGCAGCCTCGGGCTCCGGTGATCCTTCCACCTCAGCCTTCCAAGTAGCTGGAATTACAGGCGCACGCTACCATGCCCGGCTAGTTTTTGATTTATTGTAGAGATGAGGTCTCGCCAAGTTGCCCAGGTAGGTCTCGAACCCGCGGGCTCAGGCAATCCACTCACCTCAGCCTCCCAAAGGTGCGGGATTACAGGCTGAGCCACCGAGCCCAGCTAGAGTGCAGTGGCTCACTCATGGCCACCTTAATTTTTTTTTAGAGACTAGGTCTTGCTGTCACCCAGGTGTGGCACAATGGTAGCACACTGCAACCTTGAACTCCTGAACTCAAGCAGTCCAGTCCTCCTGTTTCAACTATTTGAGGAGCTGGGACTACAGGTGTGTGCCACCATATCAAGCCTTTTTTTTTTTTTTTTTTTAAGTCTGAGGTCTCACTGTATTGCTCAGGGTGGTCTCAACCAACCCTTGTCTTGTCTCCACCTCCCAAAGTGCTGGGATTTCAGGCGTGAGCCATTGCGCCCAACCTGGGCTACTTTTTAATGCAGTGTAGAGGTGGGGACCTTACTATGTTGTCCAGGTTGGTCTCTAACTCCTGGGCTCAAGCAGTCCTCCCACTGAGCCTTCCAAAGCACTATAATTACAGGTGTGAACCACCACACCTAAGATGTACTTTAAAATGGGAGTGAGGGTCATGTGTGGTGGAGGCTGAGACGAGAGGGCTGCCTGAGCCCAGGGGTTCAAGATCAGCCTGGGCAACTTGGTGAGAACTCTTCTCTACAATAAATCAATTAGCCAGACATGGTGGCGCATGCCTGTGGTTCCAGCTACTTAGAAGGCTGAGGCAGAAGGGTCACCTGAGCCCAACATTCAAGGCAGTGGTGGCTTACACTTATAACCCCAATGCTTTGGGAGGCAGAAGGAACACTTGAGGCTAGGAGTTAGAGACCTTAGGAAGCTGGGCAAGCTTCCTAAGGCTACACGAACTAGGCAAAATCTGTTCTTTTGGGTCTAGAGGCCAGAAGTTCAAAATCAAGGCATCAACAGGGCCATGTTCCCGTTGAAGGCCTTAAGAATCCTGCTTTTCCTCTTTCTGTCTTCTCATGATTGTCAGTGATTTTTGACATTTGGCTTGCGGCTGCTTGCTTCTGTGTCTGTTTCTTTTACAAAGTCACCAGTCTCTTGATCTAGGGTCCACCCTAATCCAGTATAACCTCATTTTGCCTAATTGTTTCTGCAAAGACCTAATTTCCAACTAGTGCCACAGTCTGAGGTCTAGGTGGACATAAATTGAGGGTGCATCTTTCACTATCCAAGTCAATTTGATTTCAGTTTAGATGGCAAGGGGTGCTGGTTTCTTTTGGACAGGGTTATCTCTGGGCACTGACAAAATCAAGTTTCTGATCTTGGAGCACTTAACCTCATGGGGATACGGTGACTTGCCTAAATCATTATGACCCTTAGAGATTAATGAGCAACTGACAGCCCAGTACCTTGATCAAGCCTGTTAACTCACAATACCCTAGTTTCCTGGATAACCTTGGAGAGGCAGGCCCTTGATTCTCTACAATGCAAAAACCAGAAGGCATTTAAAACTACATGTGCTGGGCAATGGGGCAAAAAAAGATCCTGCTTTCAGTGGTCTAGCTCAAGTTCTCTGCTCTTGGTCCAGCCCCTGCCCCTACGGTGGGTGAGGAAAGGGTGGTTTGGGGAATTATGAAACAATAGGTTGTTGCAGGCCTTGTCTTTGTGGGGTTTTTAAGTAATGGAGCTATAAGGGAGTAAAAACAGATTCAACACTAACACAAAAACCTGTCACTTCAGGGTGTGGGTCGAAGATATGCTCATGTGGTGTTGAGGAAAGCAGACATTGACCTTACCAAGAGGGCAGGAGAACTCACTGAAGATGAGGTGAGGGCAAGGAAGATGGTTGGGGGTTGGGCTTTAACTCAGAAAGGGTGCCATCTAGAACTGACCTTGCACCTGCCAGGTGGAACGTGTGATCACCATTATGCAGAATCCGCGCCAGTACAAGATCCCAGACTGGTTCTTAAACAGACAGAAGGATGTAAAGGATGGAAAATACAGCCAGGTGTGTATTGAAATGGCAGTGGGATTACAAGAAGAGGGGGTTCCAAATAGAATTGGGTGTAGGAGTTCAGGGATCAAACACTATCTCACCCTCTCCCTCAAATCCAGGTCTTGGCCAATGGTCTAGACAACAAGCTCCGTGAAGATCTGGAGCGACTGAAGAAGATTCGGGCCCATAGAGGGCTACGCCACTTCTGGGGGTGAGTGGGGGTGGGGGTTTCATCTTGCTGGCTTCTACCCTCCCAGTGTGATTCTTTATGCTTTTCTTTGTGCTATGTATGACCTTTGACCCTCCCCCCTTTTTTACCTACAGCCTTCGTGTTCGAGGCCAGCACACCAAGACCACTGGGCGTCGTGGTCGTACCGTGGGTGTATCCAAGAAGAAATAAAGTCTGTAGACCTTGTCTGCTAATAAATAGTTTATATACCTATGGCTTTCCTTGTGGTTTTCTCCATTCTTCTGATGTCAGCATGGCTGGGCCCTTTCGGTCATTTTTCCCTTTCCACTCACCTACCGAAACAATGCCAGTGGTTTTAGCGGTGGTGATGCTCTACTCTTGCCCTCTTCAAATTAACCCTATGTCTAGCTAGTGATGCCACCCCCCACATAAAGCACATAACATTCTTGTGGTCTTAAGGGGGAATCCAGACCAGCTTCAAGAAAGCCAAGTCCGCTTGAGCTTTATGCAGAGCGGTTGTGTGTGGCTAGGTGAGTCTATCCAGTTGCAGTTATTTGCAGGTCTTGGCCATCCTGGGTTTCTAAAAAGGTGGGGTCCTTTATCTAGTCGGAAAATTAGGCAGGCTGGTACAGATTAAAGTCCATTGGCCTTTTCATCTAAGCAACAAGATCAACCGGGCACCAACCTTGGGTTGAGTTCCGGTAAGGGCGGAGTTCCGGTAAAGAGGTGAAGCGCGTGTGGATTGGGTGGGGTGCAGCAGTACAAACTGGACTGATTGCAGGCCGCCTGTGCGCGGCTCCCGCCTGTGCG